ATATATCTATGGCCAGGCTGAGCTATTGTCATGAAGTTGGCAGGACTTGGGAGGATACTGGGAAGTCTCATTTTATATCTTGGGGTTTGAGGGTAAAGTCTTGGACAAACAGGACCTACCACATCAACCCCATATTCTAGTCAGTACAGAAGCTTCTGAGAGTCATGGGTGAGCAGATAAATCAATAGAAATAAGGAAACTCCTAATGGTCCAAAAGCCAAATGCATTATGTAGTACAGTGGTGGCTTCAGTGACTAAAACATTGAAGTAATCCAAAGTTTGCACCAAGGGCCTCAGTCCTCCTTCTACTTATTCTTGGTACTAGACAAAAGGAGCTGTGGCTGCAGTTTCCTGTTCAAAGTCTAGTTTAGAAAACTTAAGAAGCAGGACTACCAAGTACACAGGAAATGATATTCATTCACCTTATTTTATGTTTTTGCCTCTACTTACCCCAGCAACACTCTGAGAGCATCAGGTATAGTCAGGTTCAATAGGAATGGAGGATAGGTGAATAACATTCAGAAGCTTGGTAATCCCAGATGTTTTTAGCCACTATTCTTATGTTAAATGTAATTAATAAACTCATTGCCAAATGGTTGTCATAAGGACTAAATAGGGCCCTATATGGTAAGGTCATTTTAGACATGAGGAATAGGTTTAGGCAAGCCATAAGCTTCCTCCAAAACACCAGCAGGAGACTTTAAATATAGGGAAAGGCCAGGATTAATTTTTGGTGGAGGCCAACTCTGTAATCTGCAATGAATCTTTCTTTGTTCTAGATCTGGCCAACTGGATACACAACAAGGACACCTCTTTCCACCACTGAGACTTCGAGTAAAGCAGACTGAGAAAATATCATCTGTAACACAATGACTTTGGTGTGGCCTAAAGCCCCGTGGCCCTCCCTGATTGGTATCACCATTCTAGGACTCCTATAAATTATATTTTAAACTCATACACTATCCTCTTTTGGTGGGGGGGACAACAATTAAAGAAGGTAAATTAGAATCTTAGTAGAGAGGCAAGTGGCTCTCTCATCAGGAAATATATGGTGCTTTGTAATAAATCAAAGGCAAGAATGAGGTACATGTGCTTAGTAGATAACTTAAGTAGAGTCATCTTTTATAATAATGAGAAATATGGACATATTGACACTTTGGGAAATAATTCTTTTGATGATGTGTTTGATTTCAAGGTACCTTATGAGATAAATGGCTGTATTCCAGCGTGTAAGACCCATACCATTTGTCTTCCCACCTCTAATGCCTTTGGCATGGAGTCGGGGAAACCTCAGACCAGAAACTGTTCTTATGCTCTGCCGAAGGTATCTGAGATTGGCTCCTGGAATCTGGGAAACCCAGAAATTGATAAGAAGCAGAAAAGTCTGCTAACAGTTGAGTCCTGTGGGGAGAGATGGCAGACTCCAGAGAAAAAGAAAAGGATGGTAACAGTAGAGGAGGGGGTTAAATGAGGAGAGCCAAAAATGGAGAAATGGAAAGGTTAATGAAAGGGAAGGTTTAGTATCATATGCTCTAAATCAGTGTGTGTGTGTGTGTGTGTGTGTGTGTGTGTGTGTATTCCAAGAACTACACAGGTAGGGCTTATACTCTAACCCAAAAGCACAAATATATCTCCTCCCTGTTTTGCAGCTTGGAAAAATTATCCAGATCCTTTCCTTAAATAAGTACTTTATTGGGTTCAGTGTTCAGTTGTTCTGTAGAAAGGCAAGCAAGGCAGTGCCAGAATAGATCCACTAGTGAGATCCCCTGAGAAACAGCATAAAGATACCACACAGAGGCCTAGTGGAATCAAGAACCATGTACATGCAGGCCATACCAGGACAAAAGAAAAAGTAAGGTCACTCCACCCACTCTGAGGAAGAGGATCAAAAGCTTTAGGAAGGAAATTGGAGTGAGAGATTTATCAAGTGATATGGCCTTTGGCTGGGTTCAAAAGATAGCTTTTAAATTCTTATGAATGCCCATGTCAAGTATTGGACTTAGAGCTGCAAGAAAAAGGAGCAAGCTCAGGGATATACCTTTAAATTTTGTTAAAGCACTAAAGGTGAAATGAAAGACAATCCCATCCATAAAGACATCTGCAGCTACAAAGAACCACTGGCTACAAGTTAAAATTCAGTTCTTAAATTCTATTCTCCCAGCAAGGACCTGTAAAGTAAAGTCACCGAAAACCCATGGGATACCTGGGAATGGATACGTAGGTAATGGCTAGGGTAAGCTGCCCTGAATAGGCAAATTTTTTAGTTGCAGTTGATAAAACGCACACGCACACACACGCACACACATGCGCGCGCACACAATGGCATGAGAGCTGCGCCTAAGTGTGTCATTTTTACTTTTTATTGAACTCCATAAGTATCTTCATAAGGCTTTGTGTCATTACAACATCTGTTTTTTTGTTGTTGTTGCTAAACAGTTTTTTTTTAAACAGACAACTCTGACACTTTTTTAAAAGGGTCAAACAGTCAAACAGTAGAAACAAAAGAATAAATTGCCAAATGCAGAGCAGTAGGGGTAATCAAAGTCACTGTTGCCCATCTATCGATCCCAGCCCACCCTACCCCAAAGCACTAAAAAATCACTTTCTGGTTTCACATTAGAATTGTCAGAACTCTCTTGTCGGTGTCCTTAATAGATCCATTAAAGATATAGACATATACAGAGGGGGAGAAAAGAGAGAAAAAAGGTTTATTTCTGTGTTAAGTCTTCCCCATGGTGTGGGGCATAAAACATACCAGCAATATGAGGAGCAAATCCAGGCCTCACTGAATTGAGGAAAGTGGAACTCAGGGCCACATAGAAACAGAGAATTATACAGTTTTTGAGGATAGCATTGCCGTGGGGACAGAACATGTTTAGATACTGAGCCCAGATAATTAATTGGCTCCCTGGCTCCCCTTTGGGCTAATGGCCACTGACTGGTATGCTTTTCTCCTATGTGGGGGCATTCCAATCAATGGAGAGCTAATTTCTTGTTTTCACAAATTACTGGTATCTCCTAATGCCATTGGATTATGGAAAGGAGAAGAGGGGATTGATATTCCTGATTCTGGAGCCCTCGGGGTAAATGACCCAGGGAGGATAAGTAGATGTGAAGGCCTGGCCAAGAGATGCTTTAAGCCCAAGAACCTTGCCAAGCATCCCCTCCTAATGTGCCTCCAAGCAAATATGACAAAGCCAAGCCTAATGAGGAGTAATGTACACTAGGTAAAGGAATACAATAAAGAGAGGCCTGCATAGAAACTAAAACAAACTCTGTTTGCCAGGGCGGGTACATTTTAGCCTGGGTACTGGGCACAAGGCTCCTTACCAAGGAGGCTTATGTAGCTAAGCTTAAGTAGCTAGGTCACATGGTGCCTTAACTTTACAATTCCTTTTTTTTTTGTACAGGGAATCAAACTCATGACTTTGCACTTGTGAGGCAGGCATAGGTGCGGTAGCACTGAGCTAAATCCCTGGCCCTTAACTTTATAATTCTGACTTTCTATAATAAAATGGAAGCTTTAAAAGTTTGTAATTTGATTTCCACAGGGGAAAGCTTACCGGGGTAGGCAAGGTCTGGTCTGGGTCAGGAGGCACAAAGCAGTATCCAAATCACCTATGTTGAAGCCTTCAAGCAACTATGGCTGCTGCTTGATAAACTGGGATCCTTTCACACTGAATGAAATCTTCTTCCATGGGATCCAAGACGGTCATAATCTCAATCCCTGGCTAGAGTGGCTTTCCATAGCAGGACTCACCCCTCACTCCTTTATATCCTATTCCTTGCTGTTCAAGGTCTAACCAAGAAAAGGGTCATGTATGGAGGACAAACAGGTATTCATACACCCATTGGTATTCTGATTCTTTGTGGGAGAAGTTAGTGGAAAGCCTGCCAAAAATAATCTTGAGGGTAGTATCTCTGCCTCAGATCTTTTGTCCAGAAGGAAATGTGCCCCTGGGCCCATCATTCACTGGCCTTAAGTGTTCTGGGGTAGGAAGATGTTAGAAAGAAGGCCATCTTCCAGGGCCAGAACTGCTTCAATTATGCCAACATTAGCAGTTCTCATGTGCCAGGAGGGCAAGAGAAAGAAGGAAGACAGAGAAGAAGAAATGAAGAAGCCAGGGAAGATTGTCCATGCAATCTGCTAACAATGGGGGACAATTCACATAATTGGGGTGGTAGGAACTGGAGGTACAGTATCTTGGATCAAGGTTGCTTCTTTCCATGCCTACTTTACTGTCAGTCTTGGACTCTGTCCAGGTCAGTAATTTGAAGGCAGCTGATGATCTTGGTCAGGTGGGTTCTGTCTTGAATTCCTCCATAGACTCCTATCAATGCTGCCTTTAAAACCTGCAAAGGGGAGCAGAGATGACCAGAACACCGAACTGCTTGCTTTAGGGAGCCCTGATTTACATCTACTTGGTGCTTTGGAAAGGGCCAGAGATAAATCCCTTCCTTAGGAGGCAGAGTCTCAGCAGCTGCTTCCAGTTTAGATCTTCTGTTGGGCTAGGTAGGCCAGGCCTAAGAGGATACTCATAACAAAGGGAGTCTGAAGACACTAACTGGCCCAAACTAATCCCCAGATGCAAAACTGCAATGACCCAGAAGTGCTGCAACATGAAGACTCCCAAATGTTAGAAGAAATATTCCAAATGAAAAATATTTCCTGAACAGAACTCTTCTTTAGCATCATAATACTCTGATACTCCATTGTTTCTGTTTGGTTTGTATCCTTCCTCAACATCTAAAATATAGTGAAAGCAATAGAAATACCAAGCAGTTATGTCACATGGCATTAAGGAGCATGTCCTGACTAGCAGGACTGTGCACAGAGGATGCTGGGTAAAAGCTGTTTTGAGGAAACTGCAGGGTTACAGGAATATCCACAGATGATTGGCTGAAGGAGAGGAAATGGGGATTCTCTCTTTCCTCAGTAAAAAGTGAAAGAAAGAAATCCCAAACCTACCACATCAAATTAAAATCAAAAGTCATCAGCATCTCTATTATCATAAAAGAAAACTAATACAAATACATCTATGGTAATAATAAAAAGTCAATGAATCACTCACAGAGGAGCAAAGAGTATCTTAACAAGAAAAATAACATAGAAATGGCAATCTCTGAAAGAAAAGAGAAAGGGAACAGGTTAAGAACTGTAAAGTTTTAAGAGGGGTTCACTTGTTTGGAAGTCATTTGTACCTCTCCTACCACCTATAGATTTCACAAACCAAAAACAACAGAAAACGTTTTTGGTCCTTCTCTGAATGTGTATGCATGTCTGTGTATGTGTATGTGTATGTGTGTGGTATGTGCACACATATGCATGCACATGCCCACACAAGCGTGTGTGTGCATATACTCAAGGGTCTGTGTGTATACATATGTCTATATATGTCTCTCTATATGTATATACGTATATACACACACACATATATATTTTCAACAGTGTTTCTCCGAAAAAAGTCCATCTATAAATATAATTTTATTTAGTTTATTTTAAAATTATCTGCCTCCCTGTAGGTATTATTTTTTGAATGGGGTTAACCTGCTGAAATTTTGCCAGAATGGTGACTGGCTGCGCTTGGGTTCGGTGAACTCAAAGACTTGCGACTGAGCGATGCCATCGGGGACCAGGTACTGGCCCTGGTTTAACGGGTCCTGTGGTGGTGGGTAGGAAGGAGGAATGGAGCGGGCAGAGTTGACACCTATAGAAAGGAGATCAAAGAAAATGGCATAAGTGAAGTCCCAAGAGGGTTCTCAAATCATTCAGTGACTACTCTGGGCAGAAAATTCAAGGTAGATCAATTTATGAACTTTGAACTGGTATAGTTTGAGCATTCTTAGAATGAATACCTGAAAGGCCCTGGATCCTCACATTCAAAAAGTTTCATATATTTCCAAACATTTTTAAATTCAGACTTTCAGATTAGGAATGTTCAATCAAGAAAGTCTGTGCAAATATTCCCAAATCTAAGAAACCAAAATTTGAAATTTCAAGCAATTTGAATAAGGGCTATTCAAACCTGTATTACAAACATTTCTTTCTCTCACAGATTTTGAAGTGGCATGGCTCTTTCTGAAATATTGCATTCTTCTCTATCTAATCAATATCACTAAGTAACTTATGATATTACTATCAGCCATTTTACAAGTAAAGATACTGAAACCTAGAGATACAAGTCATACTTGGGGTTCAATGGTAACTTAGTGACAAAGCAAGAGCTAGAACTCACATTGTTTGAGTTTTCAGTTCAGAGCTCTTTCGTAGAGAGAATAATTCTTTAAAATGATTTTGGTTCTGCAAAGAAGTCAACAAACTCCATTTAACTCCAAAAGATTTTGGCTTTCTCCCTCTCCAACTATCCTGGGAAGTGTCAAGAGTCTTGTTAATAACTACTGACTTCAAAGCAGGTCTTTATGTGAAAATAGTTTTTTAAAACACATGTGATTTAATGTTCTACCCTTGGTTGAGAGAGATAAATCTAAAATTAATAGGGAATTGACATTGGTAGTTGAGGGAGAAAATAAAAGCATCACCAGAATATATGAATCATGAAATTTGTGACTTTTCAAAGGGAACAGATTCAATGACATTAAAATTTAAAACCTTCTTGATTTTTGTGGCAGGGTTTGAAACCATCAAACAAAAGACCAAATTGAGAGGATTCCAGGAACCAGGATAGTGGTGAAGGCCAAAGTCAAAGTTCAATTTTGATCTATATTCAAAGCAGATGAGACATACAACATACAATTCAGACATGAAAGTCCTTTCAGCTGTTTCCAGACACTTTCCTCATCTGCCAGCCAGTGTCTGAAATTCTAACATTACAGCTTCTTTGCTTTTGATGACTTGATCCCATTACTCCAAAGGCAGTATCATATTAAGCCATCATTGGTCATTGGCACCTCAATGGGAAGGATCAGATTCTCTTCCAAGAGTCAGTTTTGAAAGGTGGCAGGTAACAGAAATATGAGGGTAGGCCAACCAATAATACAGAAACATTATGGAGGGAGGTCCATGTTATTGATATTTTATTCTGTTCTTCAAGATTTTGATGTCAAATTTAAGAACTCCTCTGCATAACCCTAGAACCTGAAGAAATTTTTTTTCTATTTTTTTCTAAGAGTACTGTAGTTGTATATTCAGTACTATGGTTAATTTTTATTTAGCTTTTGAACAGAGTGTGGGTTTAGGCTGAGGATATTTTCCCCCATGGAAGTCCAATTGCTTCAGCATGATTTGTTGAAAAGGCCTGTTTCTCTATTGTGTTCATGTATTTGTCAAAAATTAGACATATTAATGTAGGTCTATTTCTGAGCTCTCTTCCAGGATTCAATATGTATTTTCTTTTGCCATAATCACAATGCCTTGATCACTAGAGCTATTAAACAAATGTTGAAAATGCATAAATTTATTAATCCCATTTCCTTTTTTAAAACTGTTTTAGTTTTATGGGGGATTCATTGACTTTTGAGCTGGCCATAAAGCCTCTAGAAGTGGAACCTGTGCTCATGGCCCTGGGGAGTTCTGTGTTGACAAACTCAATTGCATTGGTGAGCCAGGAATTAGCATCTTAGTCCAAAGAAGTTATATATAATTCTTAAAAGCAAGGCAGTGTGAAAGGCAAAGGTAAAGTGAAAAGGTCTTTCTTAGAGCTACACTGGTTTCTCTCTGCTATTTTCCTAGCCAGGTATCTCCTTCCCCAGAGCAGTAGCCTGAGTTGATAATTTCCCATGGTGTTTTAGATGGGGTTGAAGCACATCTGCACTGGAGAAATTTTAACAAAATCTCTCCCATCATTTCTAGGAATGTGCGGTTGGAAGGATTAAGGAAGTTAGCGTCCATAGATGTCTGAAAGAACCTCTTCATGCTTTCCCCATGTACATGCTGTAACTATTAAATTACTGTTTGACAAATGTTTCCAATATACAAATCACCACAGCCCTGCTCTCTAAGTTCAGAAACAGAAATATGTGGGGAGATTAATAGGACTTCTGGGAAATTCAAAACTAGATGAGTTTCTTTAAACATTTTGGAATTGGTTTTAAGATAAGAAAGCTGTTCAGACACTACCAGACAACAGAGGATCTAAAAGGGACAGCCTAAAGACTAGACAGGAAGAGAAAAGGAACTACCTCAAAGGTTTGGTATGAGCTATCAGGACTATCTTCTGAGTGGTTACATTGTGGATGTTCCTATGTTTGAAATATACTCAGTGAAAAGACTAGCTTGTAGAAGACACTCTTTGAAGGTACCTGGGCTGGGATAATCAAGTATCATTCCATCAGGGGAGTCAGTGTGTTAGGGGAACTAAAGGGAATCAAGGTAAGAGAAGCTCAGGACATGAGAGACTCCAGGAGATAGAGGCAGGCTGCTACGGAAGTATCAGTTTTGCAGCATGAGGACTCTTTAGCAGGCTAGGGCTCATTTCTGCCCACATCTCCATCTAGGGAAGGGGGCATTCACTCATAGAGTTCTGTTAATACAGATCAGTTCTCCACTGACATTAACTCTTCAGAGGTCACAGCTGAACCAAAAGATACAAACTTCTTACATATTGTTAGGGGGTAACTTGTGACCCTAGACCTCAATAGGTTAACTCCACATTGCTTTGTAATGCTGTCTCTCACATAATGAAAAGGTTAGGGGTGGCTGGCTTTATTCCCTGTCTAAGGGAAATCATATTACCACGACGAAGAATGATCCAGTGAGGGCCCAAGAAGAGCAAAATTTAATAAGCAATTAAAAGAAAGGTATGTCTAGTCAGGATATCCCAGCTAAGTGTACTGGCTAATTGGGAATCAGATATTCACAAGCTCTCAGCCTCCTCAATCAAAGAAGCTTCACTGGAAATAAAGGTGTGTTTGTGACTGCTGGAATTTTAAGGAACTTGAATCTGGTCATTTTTTATGGTGACTCATTCAGAACGAAAGAGCTCACTGAGAATGCAGAGGGAAGGACCTGGGGAAAGTGAGGTCTCATTAAGTGGTCCCACTTCTGGCAGTGAAAACAGCTGTCAGTAATAGAAATAGCTATCAGTAATTGATGTGCGATAGTAAAGTGAGCTCTTTTTTCCCTACAAGAAGCATCAGCAGGACTATGAGCTGCAGAGGAGAAAGTAGTAGTGGGCCAAGAGTCAAGCCAATTTTGTTTCAGAGTCACTGGGAAAAGTCTGAGTTTTTATTTGAAAAGTGGGGCTAAAAGTGCTCACTGTCTTAGGATTACCATAAAGATGAAACAAAATAATTCATATTATAAAATAATTCAATACTAGATAGGCATTGTAGTAAACACCAGGTAACACCTTCCTTTTGCTTAGCTGAGTATTTTAGTTTTGTTCCACTTCATGAAAAGAGAAAATAGAGCTTTATTTCATATTAAATTGATTCTCTATGTATTTACCTTTTAAAAGTACTTTGGTTTATGGTTTAAAGAAATAAAGACTGTCTAAATCTTCTGTTTTGGTTCAATTTGAGGTTCTCCATTCTGAATGGGGTCTTCTGATTTGGCAAGTGTACCCAAACCAGTGAAGGGCAGCCGAACACATATATCCCTATACATTTACACTTACTAAATAAATTATACACGTTTACTGTTTACTGTCTCTAAATAATTAGTAATGTTTCCTTAATTTGAAATAAAAATAAGGAGAATACAAGGTTTTATTTTTTTCCTTGTACACAATAAGCTATCTTTGGACATAATTACCCAATACATTTCACTCCTGAGCATTAAGCCTTTATGATCATTTGCTTCCCGTTTTCAGGGACACCTGGGGAGCTGAGAACTGCCCTAACACTCCAAGTGAACACCAGCATGGAAAAGAGCCAATAAATATGAAAGCACATAGGTTATGGCTTCCTAGTCTCACACAGAAAACAAGTGGGGTTGAAGGGCTAAAAGCAAATTTACCTTTTTGTTTAGGGACTTTTCTCACAGTCATTGCAGCCTGCCTCTTCTGGTTTTCAGATATTTCAAAGCCTAAAGAAAAAAAATACAGGACTTCGTTAGAATAAACATATACTCTTTTTTTCTCATTGAGTTTATTGGTATACAGTACAGTTACATTCATCATTGGGATCGTGAACCAATGACAAGTCTTGGTTCTCATTTTTTCCCCTTATCCCTGCCCTCCTTTCACCCCCTCCTAGCTTCCCTATTTACAACTACTTTATTTCCATTTTTTTCATTTTCTCATGTTTTTTTTTCTTTTCCCTTATTACCTTTGCCCTACCCTTCCCACTTCCCTTGCACCTTTAGCCCTTTTCTTCCTATTTCACATTGTCAATTATACCATTAGGATCGTATGTACCATTGTAGTTTTTCACACCAAAGAAACTATTTGGTATTTAAACATGTATGACTTATTTATTTAACTTAGGAGTATATCCTCAATGTGTATCCATTTTCCTATGAATGACGCTAATTTCTCATTCTTTATAGCTGAGTAGTATTTCATTTTATAGAAAAACCACATCTTCTTTATCCAGTCTTCAACTGATCATATACTCTTCCTTAACGTACACGTTAATAGAATTTTTCTGGAAGAATGACTTGGTAAAACGTATTAAAAGTTTTGAAATACAAGAAGGTCTTTGTTCATGACACAGTAATTCCTTTCTAGGAATTTCACTAAGGAAATTTATTGGAAACTTGGATTAATATCTTAGCTACATTTCCTTTGGGTATATGCCCACTAGTAGTGTTGCTGGGCCATATGGCAGTTCTATTTTTAGTTTGAGGAACTTCCATAATATTTTCCATAATGGTAACACTAATTTACATTCCTACAAATAATGTAAAAGCATACCCTTTCTCATATGGTTTTTATATACAATGGAGTATTACACTGCCATAAGGAAGGATAAACCTGAGACATTTTTAGGTAAATGGATGCACCTTGAGAACATAATTTTAAGTGAAGTGAATCAGACACACGTTCAAATATCATATTGTTTCTCTTGTGTAAAAAACCCAAAGGGTAGATAGGGACCAAAATAGATGATTGATATTGGGAAGTAGAAACACAATGTTCAAATGGAAAGGAGAACAAGAGGAAGGGAATAGAGATTGAAAAGTAAAAAAGAATGGAAGATAAACAACAGAAACTAAGTTTTGTAAAGGGAGAGGGAAAGAAGGCTTGAAGAGAAGAAAGAGGAATGGGTAAAAAAAGAATTAAGATATGTTATTTACAGGTAATATTGCCTTATGATAAATGTAATCATTATGTATGTCAAAAGTGTACCAATAAAAATTTTTTAAAAATTCCTTTTCTCTGATACCTTGACAGAATTTATTTTTCTTTAAATAACAACCACTCAAACTGAGGTAAGGTAATATTTCACTGTGATTCTGATTTGCATTTCCCTGATTATTAGTGATGCTGAACATTTTGCATATATTTTATTTGAAGATCTCTTCAGAAACATCTATTTAGATATTTAATTCATTATTAATTGGATTTTTAACTTATTTGAATTGAATTCCTTATATATTCTGGATATAAATGCTTTGTTAGATGTAGAGTTGACAAATACCTTCTCCTGTTCTGTAGGTTGTCTTTTGTCTCTGTTGTTTCTCTTGATCTGCAGAAGCTTTTTGGTTTACATGTCAAAAAGACACCAGCACTCTGTTTATTGCAGCATTATTCACAATAGCCAGGATAGGGAATCAACCTAAATGTCTGTAAGTGACTGAATGTTTAAATAAAATTTGATCTATATGTAATAGAACACTATTCAACTATTTAATAAAGAATGAAATCCTGGCATTTTTTTGACAAAATGGCTAAACCTAGAGGACCTTATATTAAGTAAAATATTCCAGGCACAGAAAAACAAATAATATATGATTTCACTTATATCTTAAAAAGTTGACCTCATAAAAGCAGGGAGTAAAAAAGCAGAGAGCAGATCTTGGCAGAGGAGGGAGGAGGGAGGATATGGAGAGGTTGGTCAGTGTACAATGTTAAAATTATATAGGAGAGGCCCAAGAATATAGCTTAGTGGTTCCACTGCCTGCCTCTCAAGCGCAAGGTCCCAAGTTCCATCCCCAGTACAAAAAAAAAAAAAAAAATTAAAT